GAATGTTGAATCATCTCGTATTACTTGTATCTTTGTCTTTCTTCACATAATAAATTTTTTCTTGATTCTATAATGCGGACATTTTCATTCTCTGCCTCGATTCTGCGTTGCGGACAATTTTCAAAATGCGGTCATTTTTGTCTATACCCCCTGATTCTGCTTTGTGGACATTTTACCTTAATTGGTTAAAAAAAGCGTCCGCATTATAGCTGTAGCCAATTCTATAATCTTTATCTTATTGCATCAACATGTCGCATGAACATAAAGCGTATTGAAACAAAACAAAAACCTACGTATTCTAAGTTAATTTGGCTTCTGATGAAATAAAAAACATAACAACATCTTCATCAATATGTGTTAGTCGCATAGCATAGATATGACTGATGAAGTCAATATTAGTTTTCCGAAAATGACGAAATAATTTTTAGTGATGGAAATTTTTTTCACTAGGTTTTTTTGTAGTACATTCAATTAAAAAAATACACGGAATTATACTTGCAATTATGACAAAAAAATCATATTAATGAATGCCTTAATAAGATTCATGTCATTGCCACTTTTGTTTCAGAGAAATGAATTTCTCTTAATCAGGATATATTTTCATGAGAAAAATATTCAAATGATAATAAAGATAGGTTTCAAGAAGATCATTGTCAAAAGGGAATTCGTATTCATACGACATGTGTGTGGCTCAACACTCCATGATTTCGAAGAGCTGAATCAAACAACTGATGATTAGCTCTTTTTATGCAAGCTCGTTTATTGAATATTTCTTTACCCTGTCTACTAGTTGGTTTCGCAGAGATCCATTCCAGTGCACGCAACATGATCAAATGGAAATATTTAGATGGTTGATACCAGTTCAGTTAATTAATATGGATCTGCCTTATATCTAATGGATAGTCTAATCATTCGGTATTCTTTATATCAAGAAAAAAACAAAATCTTTCTTCAAGGATTTCTTTTTAATTATGTATAAACTTTGATAGAGAACTTTCTTGAAGTGTGGGTATTGGTGTGTTATCTTTTGAATGACACACAAATTCTCACGCCGACATCCACATCAATTCACATCCGCACTCATATTCGCACAATCACACTCATAATCTACAATTTTCGCTATGAGAGGATCATTCGATATAGATGTTGCAAAAGTAGTCAACAAACAAAAAATCATAAGAGATAATCGAGACAAAAAAGAAATTTGGTAGATGGTTAGTTGGCATTTTATAGTTGAAAGATCATTCGAGACTGAACAATGAATAGAACTGAATTCGTGTGAGTCTCTTGAAGTCATTCTCTTCGACTTGTCATGAAAAAAATAAGTATCACAAGAGAGAGATACACAAACAGAAACAAGCATTGAAATAGAATGAGATAACATTTGTTAGCTTTTACAAATATTTAATTTTTAAATTTACTTCTCTTATCTTCGAACAGCAAAACGAATCCTTACCAACGTCATCCCTGTTTTCTTTATTTTTACAGTTAAAATAGTTTATCTTATCTTTTTCCTTTTTGTACTTCTATACAAGTAGTAGATTCATGTCATTTTCATTTATTCATTTTGAAACAAAAAATGAAACAATACAAACTCTTATATGTGTTAGTACTGTTAATCGTTGAATATCATGCACAAGAAACCACTACAGTTTCATCAGCTAACTTTAATGGTGATCCAAGATTATGTACAGTTGATCCGACAACTCCAACTCCAAGTAATGTACCGTTACCAACATTTTCGAAGCAAGCAGAATTCGCTTTAGAGAGAGTAGAAGTAAGACATGTAGGTAACGCAACATTGCCTAGTGTTTTAACTTTGTATCAATATTTATATGATTATGATGCAAATAAATTGATTCTAATTAAAAATCAGAATGGTTTTATTGATGCTGAATATTTTTATTATGATATATTAAAGAAATCAACTTATTATCATGGAGAACTTTGTGTCGTTAGTGATATTACCACAAATATTGACACAGGTATATTTCATTATTTTAAACGAATTTTAAATTTAACTGTTTTTCTTTGTAATTTATTTATTAGATGGTATGTCGGCCATTCAATTATCAGATAATACATGGCACATTCGTCCATTTAATGAATTTCTCCTATTCTCTAGAGATGATCCTCGATCATTAATTATACCAAAATATATCGGTTCAAGCGTAGTGCGTGGAATACCAGTTGACCAATGGGAAACTTGTATTATCAATAAAAATAATCTTCAAACTGTTCGACGTGTATGGTCCTTTGCAAAACAAGATTTTACTACACCACTTGGTAGTATGAACAACTTTGCTGTTCCCGTTCAAGGAATTACATATGCTTCAGTGTTACTTCCTAATGGTATGCAAGCCGTAGAAGTTGATGAAATATTTAATATTTATTCATACAGACCAGGTATTATTGAAAGTAGTGATCAATTAGTTCCACCAAAAGGTGTGTTCTGTGCTAGTGGCCCAAATCAAAATTTAATATCTCTGTCGAATGCTGGTATTAAATGGCCAAATCATTTTAGTGTTCGTGTAGAAGCATCATCATCACGTAGTTCAATATGGCAAAAATTTCATTTGCGCTATGACCGTGGTCGTGAAAGTGGCTCAAAACGTATTCGTTATGATTATATACCATCTGGAGGAATAGATTTTCAAACTGTTATACATGATTATGGTGATAATTTAACATATATTATTGATCGTCGTGTAGGTTCATGTCAAATAAATCGCGATACAGAATTGCCAGATTTTAGTCCAATTCGTGATCCAATTGGTTTCTTTATTAAACATGAAAGTAGATTTATTTCTACTGAAGACGATCGAGTTTGGGAATTTGTTGGATTTCGATGTAAGAGATATTCTTATGTTAGTTTGTTCTTTTTTTTCTTATTCTCATTTTAGCATGTCGAGGTAATTCAATAAAATGTGCAGCAGTAACAACTTCGATTGATACGTTTCCTGCTATGGTTGATCCTGACATTGGTACATCAAATGGTGAAACATGGGACGCAACGAATATTGAATATGGTTGGTCAATGCGTGCACCTTCTTCACTACCACCACCTGACATGACAAAAAATTTTGATTATCCAGTATATTTATTTTTAAGATTATATCGAGTCGATGGCCCAATTAATCCATCACTAAGCAATATTCGTACAGAAGATATTGAATATGAATTTTATGAAATGTCTCATGAATTAAAGCCATCTGATTTCGATACTAGTATATGTTATCGTTCACTTGATCTACCCTATCTTCATCTTGGTTTCGTACTTAAGCCAAGCAATGGTAGCTTCATAGATAGCAAAGATTTGAATAGACGTGATCTAGACAGCAAGTTGCGATTCAATCTGGCAAATTACATGCAGATCAGATACTCACGAATCAGCGACATTGAACTCGATCACATTCGATTTGATAATAGTGTCTATGTTCTATTCACTCTTCTTGGCCCGATACCCTTACTGAGCAACAATGAACCATCGGTCGTAACACTAAGACAACTTCTGGAGAGCATAATCGATCAGGGTCGATTCACATTTAATGTGACACTGCTAGACAATGACAAATCCCAACTAGTATTCAAGGCACAGTCCGGTTCTCTCAAAGTTTCCAAACAATTTATGTCGATCCATGCTAGTTGGGTTTACGCCAATGTTTCCAATTGCAACGTTTCTAATGCTAATTTTTCCAACCCAAACGTCACTATTACCACTATCCCCAACCCAAACTTCACTACTATCACTATCCCCAGCACAAACTTCACTACTACCACTATCCCCAGCACAAACTTCACTACTATCACTATCCCCAACCCAAACTTCACTACTATCACTATCCCCAACCCAAACTTCACTACTACCACTATCCCCAGCACAAACTTCACTGCTACCACTGTTGCCGGCTGCCAAGTTCATGATTCCCATACCAATGGCCAACGAATTAAACAAGAAAAATACACAGCAGCAGCTCAAGCCGGTGGTATTCTCGGTGGACTGATTGTCGGTATAGTGCTTGGCTTCATCGTACTTGCTCTCGTTCAATTCCTAAGCAAAAATTCAACGTCTACGACTTCTTACAGCACTGGAAGTAGTTTGAGCAATATAGGCTTTCGCAAGAGGAAATCGGAGCCACCTTTAAGTATGCAAGACTTGAAAAATGCAGCCGATGCATCTAATATTTGATACTTATTATATTGATTTAACCCATATTGAACTCTTCTACATATTGCTTTTCTCATTTTGTTTAAATCGAATGTAGATCGTTTTTTCATTTAAATAAAATCCTTAACTCGCTTTATTTAGCATCACTTGTTTATTATGATTAGACATGCACTAAAACAAAAATGTATTGCACTGTGGGTTACTACTTGTAGCGTTGCAAACTCGAGTGGTGTCATAATCCCGTTACATCCGGTATCCGCATTTGCTTTTAATGTAGTCTCCGGGTATTGAATGGAGAAGTATCCATTTTCATATACGATACGATATCTTGAAGTGTATCCGACTCGGTATCCTAAGCTATAACCATACACCAAAACTTGGGGAATATGGGTCAATTTGGTGTATTGCCCGAAGAGTAATGACCTCCAAATTGAAATAAGTATTCTAAAGTTGAGGAATTTGAGCGAATTTGGGGTATTACCCTAAGGGTAATGATCTTCAAACTGTAGCTATATGTTACAAAGTTGAGGAATTTGAGTGAATTTGGGGTAACGAGGTCGTTACCCCAAATTCGCTCAAATTCGACAATTGTGAAAGCATGTAGTTCATTTATGGAGTAAGGAAGTCATTACCCCTAGGCGTAAGTTTCATCGTGTAAATGAATTCACTTTTAGTTGATTACTCTGTAGGATATCCTGACATTTACTTCTCTATACCCAGTGTAATGGTATTATGACATCTATGACAAACTCTACCATAAAAATGTATCTTATTGTTGATATATCGTAGCCTATCTATCAAGTAGTCATTCATCACTTTATTTTGTCCATGTATGTACATATATCTGACTTCATTAAACATATTAGAGTTATACATTTCTCTCGTCTTGTCTTTGTTCGATGATCGAAAATAGATTAGTATAAAGCGGTTTGATAAGGATTACATTGACTGAAGACGACTAGATCTCAAAATTCCACTATTGTGTCCGCCAAGAAAAGAAGTTGCTTATCAAAATTAAACTAAAGTATTCATTTTTCGATTTGTCAGATGACATACATGTTCAACGAAGACAAGATTCGACTCATGCATTCAAATTGTGTCATCCAAGCTGGATATAAAAAAAGGTATATGTGTGCGACATAAGCAACACATATTTTATCAACATGCAATGATAAGGATTTCATTTCGTCACTATTACCCTCAAAAATTAGCGTTACTATCATTATCAGCCATGCAATGTAAGAAGAAAATTCGTTACATGCTAATAAAGTTTGATAGAATGCGCTGAATCAGACGAAATAAAGAGCGAAAAATCTAATTTATTCCGTTGAATTATCAATGAAACTGAGATTTTTCTAGTTAAAGTCGACCTGCAATATCTATTTGCGCTTCGGAGTTATTCATAACTGTTTTCTTGTATTCTACATTAAAGCGTATAAATAAAAATACTTAGTTACTGTTTCACAGAGAGTCTCAATAAACATGTGAGTAGAAGAATGACGCATTCATTTGATTGCATGATTTATAGTTTCAACAATGAAATGATGGCAAACGTCTCCTGTCTCGTACAGAAAATATCAATCATTAGTTGGCTTATCAAACATCTTTATTCTGCAATTATTTTTAAAGGAAATAAACCGATCTATATAAGAAAAATAAGTCAAGAACATCAGTTTTTGTGCTGTTGCAATTCCATTGAGGTTCGATTTTTTTCATCGTTTGAAGAAACGTTTCAAAATAAAAACACCACCGACTGTGCCGATCAAAACACCCAAAATGAGGAATCCAATCCAGAAACCAGTGATTAATGGACCTGAACTCTTATATACTATATCAATGTTTTGATTAAGATTTTGGTTTTGCTCAGTGGTTGTATCAGGACATTCGACAGAATTTTCACTTCGAGCAAAAGTTTGATTGACACATTGACCAGCATTTTGATCAAAACTCGTATAGATGACCTGAAGCGAATTGATTCGCGCCCGTAAAGTAACTTCGTTGTTGTTGTATCTCGCTCGAAAGGCTAGGCCATTTGCATCTATCACCGTACGTAGACGTTCGATAGCTGTAGTGAGCGATGGTTCTTGCAAGGGAAATTCTACTGGTCCTAGGCGAGGTGGTGCATCTAACAATGTGAATGTTACAGGAAGATCCTTGCCATCATGATCAACAATGATGTTAGAAATTCGAATGGGTCGCACTTGAAGAACAATTGTCAGTATTTCCCAAATCGTATATCGCAAATAATCAATGTTCTGCTGTACTGGATACTGTTGATCGTTTGCCACAGTAAATGATATTACACCGAGATTGAAGTTTTCTATAGATTATAAAACACTTGAAAATCTCAATTTTTTCTGTATCTAATAAGTGCTCACTTTCGGGACCCATAGCACGATAGCAATCAGCTATCGTTTCGTCAATTTCGAAGAAGACTGTATTTGGATCACGAAGATAGTTGAAAAGCGCTTTAAATTAAAAACAACAACAAACTATGTGATATAGACTATTTTTTATTACTCGTTTCAATTTCAGATATAAGGCTACCATTGACATAATTTTTCAAAACCATTTTCATAGGAAACGATTCTTGTAAAGGTTCACCATTAATACTGGATGCCCAATACCATTCTCGATGTTCATATATATTATTTGATGATGATTTTTCACCAATCCATACATAACACCAAACACGATCACGACATTGTTTTTCACCAGTATATTGATATGTAATATCATCCATTAAAAAAAGATGTTGTGCGGAACCCATTTGTACCAGATTTGGTTTTCCGTCTACTACCACTGCATCATTCCCACCTGTGCTTATATCAAGAACAGAACATTGACGTGTTGTATAATTATATTGATAATTGAGACCAGTTGCAAAATCATGTATTTCAGCGTAATGTGACCAACGTGGTCCACCGAATGGATCAGGATACCAAACATTAAAACCACTAAATTGAAATCTAGTATCATAGAGATTACTGGTACTAAAAATTGACTTATTTGCTAGCGGTATAAAAACTTCTGAATTGACGCTAACTCTCTCAGGAATATTTTGTGGTACAGCTAATGTACTTGTTCGATTTTGACAATATACACCAGCTGGAGTTTCTAATGCTTGATGTTCTTCTTGACGACTAGGATTTGGTGTATAACGAAATACATTATATGTATAAGTGTCTTGATAACCACTGTTATTTTTAATTTGAACATCTATTTTTAATATAATACTTTCATTTGCTGGTAAATAAGCTTGAAACTTTGTTACATCTGATGCATAATATGTGGCATCAACAGTTGCTTGTATATCAGATATATAAAAACATGATCTGAATTTATTCGTAGGAATACCGCGTAGCTCTTCATCACCAATATATTCATTACCCCATATATTATTGTTTTGATTACGAGGATCGTAACCAAGTAAAATTGATGGTTTGACAATAAGTGAATTTGGTGCAATAACACTAGTTTGTGAATTATCTCCAATGACTTGCCGAGCACATAGTGGTATTGGTTGTTGATTAACAATAACAGTAAAGACCTCAAATTGCTCGTTAGTAATAAAATTCCAATAGAATTTGGCTGGTCCTATAAGAGAAGAATGTAAAATAGAAGTTGATTATGATATACGAAAACTGCATCCTAACCATTTCGTGAATTTATTGCAATAGCATCACGTTGCGTTGAAAATGCTTGTGAAAGTTCCATTGATTCGTCTCGCAACACCAATTCTGTCATAATTTCAAATCTAGGCGGAACTTTATGCCAATTGGGCGCAGGGATAGTAGTAGGTCCATTCGGACAAAACACTGTATCTTGTCCATAGACGATACACGTTGATAACAAACTAATAATTATTAGAAATGGTTGCAGTTGTTGCATACTGCTTGTATCTTTTGAGTCTTATTATTTGAAAATGGTACGTTGAATAATATTTTTACAATAATAATAACTCTTCTATGTTGAGTTGTATGATAAGAAAAAGAAAAAGATTTTTGTTTGCTTGCATTATCTTTGATAAGTGCAACACCAGCTAGTAGTAAAGGACCATAAATAAAGAATATCCAGGTAAAAATTGCTTTTTTTACTTCCTCATGTATATCCAGTACTAAAAATAATTTTCTACAGAGTGTCGAAGAAGTTCCTTCCTGAAAGATTTTTCGTATATGTTTACTATTTGATTTAACTTTATCAACTATTTCTTTTAAATGATAGGTGAATACATCGAATTTTTATTTATACGAGCATACTTCAAAAACTACTCTTCAAAACTATCACGTTTAACTGACATATGAAAATTGAACCCTTTTTCTATATGTTAAAACATTATGCAACGATTTTTGTTTATTTTCTTCATTTTCTTCGATGTTATTCACATGTCCAACATTTGTAGTATTTCAACTCAAAAATGATCTATGTGTTCCTTGGAAGTCGCAATACACTTACCAAAACTTCCTATGATGTGTGTAGAATCCGTAGGTTTAAATTTTTCGGACCTGAATTCGGACCATACTCATAATATTCTTAACGAAATTGTTCTAACCATCTTAATTGTCGCTCAAAAGATATAAGATACTTTTTTTGCTTATTTAGAATCAGCAACTAGATAGCACGCTCTACACATTTATCAGCACATCTAGATCATAATTACATAAGAATGTGGTCATAATTGACTATTACTTTTAGAGTAGCGACTGTCGAGTCAAGCCCGAACTTGATGGGCTCTAGTAGTGTATTATATCAAGCAAACTGATTATTGAGTTCATTTTTTGATGACCCAACGATTGATCATCATGGTACAACAATTGATCAACAAAATAATCTTGACATAATATAAACCTTTTATCACCTACGCTCATAACAAAAAGGATTTACTAAAAAAAAAAGTAATTTTCCAGCAACATTTGACATTAACATGTTACTCGAGGGCAGTTCGCTATCGTCTAATAGATAAGTTTGAGAAGCAGTTCTTTTGAATAAATGCACCAACCTCATGAGTTTTACGGTCACTAAGCTTAATATCATTTAGATTTCTTTTTAGAGATATATATATCAAAATCAGTATCTATAAAACGACTATTAAAGAATGCTTTTGAAGTTTGCTTTTGTCATCGAAAACTCAGTGTATGCGCCTATCGTTAAAAATATGTAAATTGATAAAGTTGAATTGAATATTAACAATATACTGAAACAAAAAAATTTTGAGACATCCTGTAGAAAAAATTTTCTTGTTCAAACATATTGCTGTTTTTCATTAAATAACAGTTCATTATATAGATATATTAAAACTAGCAATGAATAAACACAGATTTCATAAACAACTAACAAAAATATAATCTATTGTAAAGTTTTTGTTTATAAATACATAGTATTTTAATGAGCAATATAAAAAACAAAAAACAAAAAATGAAGTTTAATACCAATGATATTTGAGAATAGAACAGCTTTCATACAATTGCTTCAGCAAATAACTAGCTACCCTAATGTAGCATAATCTTAAATTATTCATACTTAGCTGATTCATTTCCTATTTAAAGATGTTTTACAAGACAAACTACGTAGGCTTCAAAAGTTATGTGAGAAAAAAAAGAAAATATTCACAGTAAGTTCCGAATGTCTGGAAATGTTTGACCCCACCTCTCCCTTCATGTGAACATCCTTTATACATGTCTCCTAACATCTCTTTTTTCTACCTTAGTTAGTCATTTTGTATGTAAACGATGCCGAATTTATTTACTGTTATCTATTTAAAAATAATTTTCTCATATCTCATACCTACTGGTTCCTCATCTTTTTAAAGCTTCTCGGAAAAAACAAGAAGATTTAACTATATTTAGCAACCAGATCAAATATGTTGATAAGCATCATCAATAATATTTTATCATATATACCATTTATGTTCTTGTTTTCTTATATGCAACACTCTCTGAATAAATATATTCTGAACATAAATATTTGTTCTATGAAGCAAAACAGCATGTACTAAACAATTGTTTTATGATATTTTAAACAACGTATACAAATTGTAGTTAATTTTCCATTTTAATAATATCCATTTAATTTTTATAAGAATAATGAAATAATCTAGACATTTTTGAGAAAAATTGATAATCAGATAGATACTTCTCAGTTCTTTTTTAAGTATCTGATGGGATTTTATTAGAATGCGAATATTCATTTAATCGACTAGTAGAAAAAATGAAGATAAGCACTTAGTCGCAATCAAAATTAGTAAGCCAAGTAAATTCAGACTTTTGCATGTCTTAGCATAAGTGGGGTGACCTTGAAAATAGTTAATTTTGTTCATACATAAATATCTTTTTAACATTAATTATCACTTTGAATCTCATCTCAAATTAAAACACTGCACTTTAAGGATCGATGACAGAATGTAATGTCATTTGAATTTTTTTTGCAACAAAAATCTAAAATATTAACACAATGTAATTCTCAAATAATTGGAATAGTTCCTAAAGTGCACTATTTATTCTAAAAATAGATATATATTATTAAAATGAAAAATTAGCTACAATTATATATTTTGTTTTTAATATTAACAATATAGCTGATCTTCAATTAGTTCAACATTAAGTTTAGAAATTTAACTAATTATCGTTCTGAAATGTATGTTTACTTTGAAATGTTTAGGACTATTTTTTAGACCGAAAGTCTTTGTTTTTGGTTTTTCGGCAGTCTTGTTCTGACTAAAAATTTCATTAAAAACAGTCATTATTCTTCATCGGTAGATCGTGAGTTCGATTCATTTTTAGGATTATTTTAGTTTCACCGAAACTTACTCGAAGCCATAATATGAAGTTGAACAGTAGTCGACTATTGAATATATTTCCTTGTAAACTAAATTTCCTCTTCCTTAAGAATCTGTCATATATCAATTTTCGAGTCATTTTCTGATTTTATTTAACAATTAAGATATCGACAATGACTTTTTTGACTTCAGAAATAATCAAATTAGAATTCATATCGATATAGTTAGTAGTCAATTAAGCGTTTTAATCATCATCGATCACAAATTTTGATGAGTATTTTTATCATTCTACGAAAATTACACAGATATTGATTATTTGAAAACGTGAGATTCATATGAATACAAAAACTTATAAAGCTAAGAACTGCTTGTAACTATCAACATGATATATCAATAAACAAATGGTGCACATAAACCGACTGAAATTTTCTTTTTGCTTTTTCATACTTGTAGATTATCATGCCTTTAGTCATAATCTAATCATAATGGTACCAATAACAGAATGCATCAGAAATCGATCAGTATATGTTAACACCTTTTTTTTCAAATACTCAAGTCGTAATCAAATGTAGTTTTGTGTTTTTTCTTATTTTCCTTGCCTCAGATTTTAAAGTATTGAAATCATTACCTTAAATTTTAGACCTTCCTATAGTTTATTTTTCAATTAAAGATGTAAATCTTTTGTATTAATATTTTGTTTCATTCATTTTAATTAACCATTAAACAATCTACTATCTCTAAACTAATAAGTTTATTCATCTTATTATTTGAACATATAAAAATCGTTTCGAAATCTTTTTTATTTTTTTCTCATGATTGAATCTTCAAACAAAACTGAAGTTTAATTATGAGTGATGAAAATAAAACAGTTGTTTGACTATTTATTTTGCTTCAAATAGTAATGATCGATGTTTGTTTCTTCAGAAACTACAAAAATGAGACAAAATGATTAACGAGTTTTTTTTGATCTATCACTGTATGATATTTGCGGAATGAGATATTATTCTATTATCGAACATTTATTTTTCAGATGAATTTTTCGACATATTGTGAAAAAGACTAATGAAATTTTTAAAGATTATCTTGATAAATTGAACTAAAAGCGTTTTTCTTAAAATTGATCGAACTACTTGTGAATCGTACATGTATGTTAAATGTTACAAAAAGCCGATTATAATAAGTTTGATCAATATTGATTAATCCCATAAATATTTGAAAATAATGATATGCAAAAGAAACAATTTTCTGTATTTAAAGATCCTGGATGATTGTGATACACAAATAAAAATGTCTTTAAAAATAGTTTAAAATTTCAAATGATGAATATCAAATTTTGAATATAGTCAGAGCATTCGATGATATTTATTCGATAATGTATAACAATATTAAGTCTCAAAATAATCAGGTTAGAAAATGTGAGTCTTGTTCTTGTCAATAACCATACTCTGCAACTTCATGCACCCATACCCAATAATTCATTTACTCTTCATTTGTCTTTTTTTTTTTTTGAGTGCTCAAAACACTTTTTTCCTTTCAAGGTTATTATTCTTCATAGAACGTTTTCATTAATTGAAGATCTTCCCATACATATATGCATGTATAGTTGCTTAGTGTTATTTTCATTCTGATGAAATGAGCAGCAATAATAAAAAACTAAAGCAAGTATAAATGTTTGATCATACACACAGCAGGAGGTTATACTCATTCATTTCTATTTAATTGGTACAAAGAAATTATGACAAAAACAGTTTTGTTTACGATGTAAAGTTTCTAATAAACGATTTTGACAAACGATTTTCGATGGCGATGATTGACATGTATAATAATATGGCATCAATTGTTCTGTAGTAGAAATATATTGTTGTTGTTGTTTATAGTATGCTTGAACATAAAAACAACAAGAACAATAATGATGATCTGATGATAATTGAATCTTTTCATGGGTATTTGTTGTATGATTATGATAAGATGATTGATCATTGAATGGTAAATTTTGTTGAAGACTTTGATTCAATATGTTTGTCATTGTTGATGATGGTGATTGATTTGTTGTAGTAGTTAAGGGTGTTAAAGAATTATATGATGTTGGAACAATCTTAAAGACAAAATTAATATATTAATTATAAATATTTGAATTTAATTTAATATAAGAATTATTTAAATCTCACCCTCGAAAATGATATTGATCCATCATTAATATTATTATGTTTTGTTTGATGATGACGTTGTCGTAATTTACGATAAAATTGAAAACTATAATATAAATAAATAATTAGAAAAAGCAAAAAAAAAACAAATCGATTACTATCTTACATAATACCGAATAAAAATACAAGTAGACAAAGAGAAATTAAAGCAATAAATATACTCAGAATAATAAAAAATGATTGTGTATGTTGTCGATAATTTATTAATATAGATGATGAATTATTAAGAATAAGTTTTGGAAATATTGGTGGTTGTGGTGGTGGAATAAGTAGATAACATTGTGATTGTTGACGGCATATTTCATATTTTTGATAAAGATTAATATTATTAAACGAATGAATTTCTCGATATGATAAAGATTGATTCATTATTTCATATTGTCTAATCTATAACAAAAGAAAAGAAACTTACACTATTCTCTTTTCTTTCTTTCACATATGTGACATAGAGAGTTCAAGAATTATCATTTTTCTCAGCAAGAGAAAGAATCACAAGAGAACGACTTTTCTTTTTTTTTATTGATTTCTTTTCTTTCTTGATGTACATGCGAAATGATGATAAGTGTTGACAGACGCAATCCTTATGTATGTACGAGACAGCATAGCAAATATAAAGCACTTTTTCTTGAATTAATCTGTTGTTAGATATGCACTCTCAGATAGAAATCACAAAATTATTATTACTTGTATCGATATAGAACCTTGAGGAAAAATTAAGATGCTTTCTTTTCTATTACTACAGTTGATTCGTTGTAAATCAATTTTAACTTGTTCAAATATGTAATAATCTGTTCGACAATAAATGATTGGTTTTGTTACTTGAAAAATAACAAAAAGTGAAGATTCGACACTTTGACTAAAGTCGAGAAGGAATAGAGCTATGGCGAAATTTTTCTTTCTCAATTCTTAAAATTCAATATTAATATAAATTGTTCTATGACTAGACCCATGATAAAATCACGCTCAAAAAGGTATTATAAGTACTCGCATGATTATATGATTGTTTAAACATAGACAACAATTAATCACAACAACAAAAAAAAGAAGTCTGAAAGTTTTTCTTATTGTTAATCACATATCTATTCCTTAGGGTTATTTTATTATTGTTTAACTATACAATCAATATCGATATCTTTCTATATTTATTGGCAATTAGAAGATTTTTTACTATTTATTTCATCAAATGATGTTAAAGAAATGTGTTTGTAATTTGATTTATTTTCAAATAGTAGCTCAATCAACTAGAATGTAATTATAAAACATAGGTAGACAATAAAAAATATTTTATGTACCTTATATATATTTACATATATGGCATAGATCGCATCAAATAACGATAAATCGTATAAAATAAAACTAAAAAAAGAAATTCAAATTTTCAAGCAAATGATTAAACATCGAATACAATGAGAACATATATATATAAGCAAAGACAAAAGATCGAATATTTACGTGTCTAATTCTAAGATTTATTATATATGAATGTTTTTTTTTTCTTCTTCTTCTCACTTCATTAATTAAATAATCATTCGTCTTCTTATGATGATGAAATAGCGGCATCTCAGCATATATAATTATGTTCTTTCATTTAAAACTGATCATTTATTACCTTGACAGATTGTATAATTTTGTTTTATTTCATTTAAAAAATCAAACAGATACTTAATGTAATTTCTATCATGTTCATTCTATCGACAATTGACCTGCTTTTCTTTTTTCTTACCATACCTGAATTATATCTATTAGAATGTGTGATCAGAAAATGTTTCTTATTGACTGTATAATGAGTTGTACTATATAGTATAGAACGAACACTATTAATATTGTATGTACTTATATAGACTAATGAATAAAATTGATAAGCAATGTTTGTCTAATATTGACACCTATTCAAGTATACAAACATACTTAGAAAAGATAGTCTTAGTCAACTAATTAAAGTAACCTTTTTATTTTTATGATAAAAGTAATTGAGACAGAAATATGAATCAATTATAATAGTCTTAAGTTTCAATAGAATTTCTATTTTCTTTCGTTTTAAAAAAATTACGATCATACACAATATTAATTTGAAGAAGAAAATCAGTTAACTTACTCGTTATTATAATTACATATAATGAGAAAAAAGAAATCATTATCTCATGCAATTTTATGATTTGTCTTGCTACTAATATATATACGGGTGGAGTTATACTCTTTTTTTTTCTTCGTCAGATTACGTATAAGATCAATATTAGATAATCTATATTGTGAACATCGTTTTGATTAATGATAGAGGTCAATAAAATTCTATTGTCCAGTGAATGTCTCGCGAGAGAATTTCTATAAAAGATTGTTCATGCAAAAAATATCGATGATTTTCATGTTGTTAATCAACATTGAAAGAGACAAAAAAGGAAGTATACTTTAAACAATAGTCCGTAATAACGATAGATTATTAAAGTTTGCTTTTATTGAGTTGACAGACAATGCTATAGGAAGGTAATGAAAAATGAAGATTTTTTTTTCTTCTCACAAGCTGATTTAATCTTGTCCCTGCAGGACAACATATACTTCCGCTGTTCCTAATTGAATTGAAATTGAAAAAAGAATAAGACCTTTGATTATATGTTCGTAAGCATCTTTGATTTATAAACTGTCTATATGAGTGTATGCTCTCATATGTATATATTTCTTTGCATTGACTATTAAATTCGACAAGATGTTGCCTGTATTGTATTCATGCAAATGAAATGACCTCAGTGACATTCTCAAGAGTAGTCGTATGTATGGCACTAAGATAAATGATGATGATGACAAGAGCGGTACTTATAGGTATAGAACACGAACTGTTAATACGATTATTTCTAATCAATTTTATCAACTTGTGAAGTTGTTTAATGTTGTGTATATTGAATGGATAACGATCAAACATTGAATGAACGTGTGCGTGAACATATTAACAATTATAATGGAAATGCATTTTAAAAGAGATTTTATGTCATATAAACTTCGTTGAAAAAGAAAACAAACACCATCTATGACATGAAAAGATGAAGAAATCAAATATTATAATTGTTACTTCTCATAAAAGAAATCTATGTAGGTGTCTATGAAAGTCACATGCATAATACAATATCGCACCAGAAAAAAACAACAATAAATCTATAGTTGAAAAAAAATCATGTCGTCTTAATTGCGGAGGAAACAAGCGAAAAACAAAAGATGATCAGGACTCTCGGGTAGAGGGGAATCGAGATTTTGTCTCACAGTGTCCGAGTTTTTTACTGCTTCATGGTAATTTTTGGATAGAAATCGGATTTCGAAACTAGTAGCGAGTCGTTTGTTATGGAAGGGACTGCATCATTACTTTTTGCATGTTTTTAGTCTTCTACCTCTAAGAAATACTCACAAATCTGGTGTAGATAGCTCGATTAAAAAGAAATTAATCTAACCTTTTTATAATACTTACTATTAAAGAAATTAGTAATGTAAACTGTTTTGATTTCTTTGAAATTTGACCAAAAACTAACAAACACATAGAAGAAAAGCTTACTCAATTAAATTCTCATTGTCTCATACATATTGAAATCGTTGGGTCTGGATAAGATATATCCAAGAGTCAGAAGAATCCAAAACACGTTTGACACGTCCTAGCAGAGCTACTTCAGTAGAAAATGAAAATATTTTGATTCAAACAAAGCAAGAATATTTACATGGTCTTTTGAGTCTTATAATAGTCATTAAAAAATATTCAGTTTGACTGATAAGAATGGTCTTGATTATAAATCTAATAAAAATTTAGATATTTAATTGTGTTTCATTAAAAAAAATTTTTTTTTTCACATATTAAATCTTATTTTGATTGTATTTGATGAACATTTTCCTTAATTATCTAAAAATATTGTATACAATCAGATATGTAGCCGAAAATTTCATATTTCCTAATAAATTAAACATATTGTGTCTAGAAAATTCTATATGTTTTACAAAATTTTTTGTTTTCTATAAAATAGAATAAAAAATACAATTACTTCAAATACTAATATTTATTTGTCTTGGTTTTTTTAGTTAAGTTATAAAAAATACTTAATGATTAGATATATTTAACAAATCAAATATTATACAACAAAGTCAATGACACATCAAGTAAAAAATAGAATAGATTTTTATTTATTAGTAAATCCATATGCCAAAATAATAGAAGTATAGATTGACTAATTTTCATAACCGTGCGACTTTCCAGCTGTATTCAACACGTGGTTAGATACTATCTTATTTCTGTGCAAAGTAATATAGTTTTCTGACAGTGTTAAGTCAATTGATCATTTGTTTCAGATATGTAATCTTTATGATTTATTTTTTAAAACGGAAGTATATGATATCTATTAGATACAAAATTAAGCAGACATTTTTCTATAATGTGCTGTTGAAGAAACTGGAAGTTTTTTGGTGTAAGGATATGAAGAAAAAAAAAAAGAAGCGAATATGACCATAAGTAGTTATCAATGGAAAATTCGAAAGTCAATAGATTATAAGTAAAACATCGATAATATAATTTGATCTTGTTTCTATAACAAATCTAATCAGTATTTCTCAAGAGAGAAGATTAGTATATTGGTTAGAATAATATATAAATACATGTACAAAGAAACTCGTCAATACAAACGATATCAATTTTCTTTTAATCTACTAAGACTAATAGTGACATAAATGATTCTCAATTTTTTGAAAAAAAAATTTTTTTTATTTTATTTTATTATAACAAGTATTGTAAACTAAATATTGATTTGAGTAATAAGTGCAATATAATTTTGTTCTTTGACGTAATTTTTATGTTTAGGAACTCGTCTTGCATTAAAAGAGAAAAAAAATAAGACTAATTGGATGACGCTATGAAACAAACTTTCATCTTGATCGATGATAATCTAGTTGGTTTTAGGAAAATTTTTCTAACAAAAAAATTATCAACAATGTCGTTATAATAAGTTATTGACATGACATATTCTTCAATAAAATACTGCAATCGATATAATGTAATTTTTATTCAAGAATATTTTCTTAAGTTTGTTTTTATATGACAAATTCGTTGAACTTTTTCTACTTAAGTTGTTTGATAAGACAATGTAGTTAATTAGGAGGAACAACAGTTGAACATCTTCTTTTTTTTGTTAACAATGTTGAGTTCTTATCAAATTATAAATTCTCTGTTTCATCATCGATGAACTAACGATTGACATAACATCTAATTTATTGTCATAGTGAGAAAATAAAGAAAAGAAGTGAGTTGTCATTAATCTTCTGGGAATAGAAAATTGATGATTTTTATTCTTATTTTTTATCTTGTCTTTGAATATAAAGAAACAAACATAAATATCGTCTACATAAATCATTGAGAATATTTCGTTCTAAAACTTAAAACTAATAAAATACTTTAAGAAATAATCAAACAATAGATTGTTGTCATTGTTTCATTGGAAAATTATAAGAGATAATATAGACTCATTTGGTATGTATCTACCGTTTATCTTATAAACAAAAGGACGTTTTGTATGCACCTGATTATATACTGGTAATATTTGTACAATAAGACCTTGACGTTCTTGCACGTCTCGACAATCCTCATCGTACATCTATCATCATCATTTTTCTTCCTTTTTGTACACAAGATTAATCCTTCTCTCGCATAACAAAAAAAGGACGACGACGAACACCTCCTTGCGTTAAAGTACGTGAGTAAGTGAATTAATGTTTGAACAATCGAGCTCAGATGGATGAAATTACCTGTTTGTCATAAAGGAAGCAAAAGAAAAAATCAAGGTCATTGTCATCTTCTCATCATTCATCAGTTTGCTTGAGTATGAGTGAGATTGTCACCATCTGCTTCTGATTCAAACCCATGTAGAAGCACACGCATGAAAAGAAGAAGAGAAAAAGTGATAATCATTATTTATCATGCTCGTACGGGATGTCATCTGTATGTGCCAAGGAAATTGATTCTGCTACTATTAACAAAAACGGGTAATAGTTAAATGTCAAGATCCGTTCGTTTTATCTAGTAATACTCATTTGTCTTTTCTTATGTATTATCTCTTTGTAAGAATAGAAATATGCTTATAGAACTTTTTATATAGTTTAGTAGTAAACATATCTTGTTTAGCTTTTATTGATTTCAATCATCTGATAATTTTCTTTTTGTCTTGTTTATGTCTTATAATTTCTTTTTTAATTTGATAATTCTATAAGATTATCTGCTGTTTATTTTTTTTGTCGAACACTCTTTCGAATAATCATACCATTGGATTTCATGATCTGAACAAGAAAATAAAACATGTACAAAGAAATTTAATTAGCTATGAATTGATAACTGTTCATTTTAGATATTACCATTTATTCTAGAATATCATACAATGTTCGTCATGTTATCAAACATTATATGATATTGAAATTCTAGAGTAGTAGTAACACAATCACTAGCAGTCAATATTGAATCGATATTAAGAATGATGCATGGCGGTGTTAACTTATAAGAGATTATTTATATTCTTATGGACAATTTTTCTGATGATAATCAACGTGAATACTTATCGCACATTTGTTGTTTATTGGAACCAGACATTCTTTAAGTAAGTTCATCAATAAATGATAGGAAACAAGAATTTCCTTAGGTAGATTTGATAATCATTGACTTCTATGTTTGGTCAATTGGTTTTCAGATGTAAAAACTATTAATCATTGACGCAATAAAACAAAGAATATAATCATCATCATCATAATACAAGCATAGTTTGTTACCTCATCAAACATGTACAAACATCATGCAGTCGCGATCAAAGTGACCTTTTTCATTCATACATCGAATGAAAAGATGTACTTTACAGATTACATAAAAGTTAACATATAACTCATACATATAAAAATGATTACTCATTAGCAAACACGTGTCATTCAGTCTCGATGATGTGTTTTGTTTCTCATTGCTTAAAGATCAACGTAATCAAAACTTGAACAAATCTGTGAACATACATAAAAAAACTCGAACTGTCCCGTTAAGCTTTTTTTGTTCATTCAGATAATAATACATATACGAATGCTACACCTTTTATGCCATTCCAATTAAATCAAGATCATTTTACTGTCTATACAGCCTAAGGGTAAATGACCAAATCTCGTTTGTCTAATGAGCCTTCTTTTGAGTGCATTTACAAAAATAAATCTATTGTCACATATATATATATTTATACATCATGTAAGCATATGATCAATAGAAAAATAATCATATATTCTATCATATTGTCGACTCCGTTCTTTCATTTACTAAACAATATTTTGATCTTTTTAAAACTTTAAATTTATTTTTCTAAATAAACATAGTATTGAATATATACACGCCTATTAAAAATAAACATATACAGAAAGAAATTTTCGTTTATGTATGTATATTATTGTGAAATATTAAAAAACAAAGCAAAACAAAATTATAAATGAAGTTTTTTTTTTTTGTAAACTCTCTATTCACTAATCCTTACTTCACTTACATTGCTGCATGTGTATATATATATATATACGGCATACATTCTCAATTGTTCACATAAGTGATACATGCACGTATTTGTATGCCTTTGATCATTCATCATCTACTCTCTATGATTAATATGCACTTACCGCTTCACTTATAAACATACTAAAAAATTTACGTGCATCAATGAACAGAATATCATAAGGCGTCGAATTGGTGATGACCACAGAAATAAAAAAAAAATCGAAAGCTGAGTAGAATTTTAAATTAACTAAGCTCGAAAAAAAAAAATACTGAATTTATGTTTTTTTCAATTACAGTTTTGTTTGTCTGAAGAAAAATTGGACTTATAAGCGTGATAATTAACTATTGAACAAGTGATATGATGCATCGATAGAGACGATAGAACAAGTGCATAAATGATTCCTTTCGCATTAGCATTAGTTAAATGCTTTCTTTTCTTTTTTTACTTGGGCTTCTTTTCTGGTTGTCGACCGCAAGAGAGACGAAAGAAAGGATAATTGGATCGTTTCTTTTTCTCGCATTAGAAAGAGAGAGAGAGAGAGAAGAGAAGAGAGAACGGTCAGTTGAGCGAAGTAGAGTGTATATTCAGTTGATGCAGGGACATAGAGACTATGTTCATCAATGAATTGTTTGTGATATCAAGTCTTTTACTAATTATTATTGTTAGACATCAAATTGATTCATTAATTTTTCAACCATTCTATTGGAATCAAACAACATTCAGGTAATTGTAAAATATCTTTCTTCTATAAGAAATCAATAAGATTTATTTAGTTAATTAAATCTATTAGAATAGAACAAAGAAGTCATTTGTACAGATTGGTAATATTCTTTTATTCATACATGTTAGTTCTTACAAATTGCTATTGAGTTAATTGTGTTGCTCATTAGACATGTCTGTTTGTTTGAGAACGCTTTTGAATTAGATGTATTTTGAATACTAATAAAAATGTAAAAGATTTTTGTTATTGAATCAAAAGGTAGAACATCAATATCTATTGGTTTATCTTCTTTAGAAAGATCTTACATATGATTATTTCTAGATTGTTCTAACGTAAATAATATCTTTTGACATGTTCAAATGGCGTTTTTTTTTTACAAAGAAATTTAACTAAAGATTACTGTTCGAAAAGAAAATGTCATCCGAATTGCATAGGAAGTTGATTATATCATTGAAAGACTACCGGATATCTTTTGATATATGGTAGATTTGACAATTTGAATATGTATGGTGGAAAAATTATTGATTTATTTCAATGTTCTTAGTGAAGTGTTTTTTAGCTGTGCTACAAATACAAACCGTTTTTTTTTTGTCAATGTTTGCATCTTCAGGCATTCGTACCGGGTGCAATCCTTTCTTTTTGATGTGTTTGTATCTCTATAAACATAACCCTTACGGCATCTCGTCCGTTATGGAATGATAGAATGACCTTGTCTATAGAGTTCATTTTAATTAGATTTCTCGGTCACATTTTTTTGAAGTATTAAGAAAACACTTGAAAATAACAAAGAAAATAGAAATCAAAAGAATCATACTATATCTATATATAAATAGGCTATATCAAGACAATCCGTTGATCTTTGAAGTACGTTTGGGTGATGTTATGGATCTTATATGTCCATTTTATGATGAACAACAATCATATATGACAAATGAACTTGAACAATATGATATATATCGTGTATGTTAACTTTGTTTTTTTTGTTTTATTAAATTCATTTATTAATTTATAGGTAACTAAAAATGAATATGATATGTGTAGTATAGATCCATATAATATTGATTCAATAACTCGTCTTGTGATCACATGTAACAGTCCTTATGATATAATGAAATATACATTGAATTTTCGTCCATATTTACCAATACCAAATGGATTAGAATTTCATTCAAATCAAACTTATTATTTTCTTTCAACATCATTAACACATCCACAATGTTATAGATTAAAAATAATTGTACATGATTATTGTAAGTATATATATATAACTTAGTTCTTTTTTTTGGTTTATTCAACTAGATGACAAATTTTTTCTAGTTAATTTTATTTAACTTTCAACGAGATTTAAATAATACATGATGTCACCAATGGATAGATTCTAGATTCTTTTTGACTATGTTTTTTTTTCTATTTTGCGATAGTCATATACAAATCATTGAAATAGTGACGATTGTCTTTGTTGAGGTTCTATGCATAAGTTCGTATCTCAGTTAAGATAGAGGTTATTAGTTTTTTTGCTTATGAATAACATCATTGTTGATGTTATATTAAGCCCCCCCCCCCTCGAAAAAAGTCAATATTCGGCAGAAATTTCGAAATTGAGATTACAAAAATTCAAATAGATTTCTGTCATCCTCTATTAGAAAAATAAACTGTTTTTGCAAAAAAACGAAAATATTTTCCTTTTTTTCTCAGTTTATGCTTTCTCAAACGCGCAAGCAAGAATTCTCCTTTCAGGCTCGTATAAGGCCTCGGACTCTTTTTTGTAATAAAGAATATGTTAAGATGTAGTGCACTAAAGAGTTCTTTTTTTGAAATAACCTTTTTTTATTATCATATACGAGAATACGTCTATAGAAACGGCGCCATTTTTTAGAGTTTTCTTGAGTCATTGAATCTGTCATCCTTTTTTGTTTTCGCTTAAAAAGTAAGTATTTAAAAAAAAGAACTCTTTGGCGCACTGCATCTTGCCATGCTCTTTCAAACAAAAATAAATAAATAAATTATACGAGCCTTGGTAGAGAAATCTTGTTTGCCAAATTTGCTATTTTTAACCCTTGTTTGATGAATATCTCTGTCAAACGTCATGGTATCGAGCTGAAAATTTTACCATAGACTCCTCCTACTACAGCTTTAACATATTCTGAAAATTTCATGCCATTTGAACATATCTGGGCTGATATCGGTTTTTGAGGGTGGGGAGAGGCCTTCGTGAAATAAATAATCTTTTTTTTTTAGATCGAGCTTCATCGTCTCTGACTACAGTCACATCTATTAATGAACAAGAACGAAAAACTCGTATATTTTCTCATTATTCTCATCATCGACATGGATCATCATCTGTAGACAAAAATATTAATTATAATGATAATTATCGTTTACTTTCACATATAATTAAAGCCCAACGTCACAGTGATCCATATTCAATAAAATGGATTACAGAAGGACCACATGACGTTAAAGATTTTGGTATGTAGCTACTGTTTTTTTCTTATATAACTTGTATTTTAATCTTTTTTATTCTACATATTCGTAGATAAGTCTTATCGAACAACAAAAATCATGAATACAACTGTTTCATCATCTAATATGTTTAGTATTGTATTGAGTTCTTCATCATCAAAGCTACAAATATCATTTATTATTATTATTATAGTTCTTCTACTTTCTCTAAAATAATATGAAATTTTATTCTTTTTACCTTAATACCGGTGCTCTTCAAATTTTTTACTATCGAAAATAAATGGACAGACTATGATTTATTTAATAACAACAAAACTAATTATGTTTTTACTTTTTGTTTTTCGTTTTGTTTTTTTTAAAGAATATATCATCTTCGATATAAACAAAAAATAAAACGAAATCATATTATAGAACCAAATACATGTATCAATTATATGAATTTTTAATAGGTGAATACTAGATTTACAGCTGTAAACAATAGTTATAAGATGCACTTTGTTTAGATGCAAAGTTTAGAAAAAAACATGATAATCAGTTATTGATTTCGACGTAGGGCATGGAGGAAAAATCACATTCTTAGTTATTTGAAAGCTTCCAAATGGTTACGAATAGTTAAATATAACTTTGAATGCCTGAAAGTGAAATGGAATAGATTGGAATAACTGAAGGAGACGTGTCAGATTACTAATCTATCATGGTTACTTTATTACAACTCATCGTTTTTTATATTGCTGTAGGTGTAGGTGACGAGAAGATGTACATACACATCTACGCCTTTTTCGCATCTGCTCAATACCGTAGCTAATCAAAAACGAGACGAAGTGATTACGTACAACACAGAAAGTTAACAAATGCACACTTCACATCATTCGACCAGGATTTCGAGAAAGTGGGGCCAACACAGAATGCCTACGGATAACAAACCATAGCACACAACTGCCCCAAAGAAGACTATAATATTCACACTCGTTTACTATAATCAAGAAAGAACAATACTTGCTTTCGTATCCTCAATGTCTGCCGCAAGTTGTTTCCACACTTTCAATTTCCTATTTGGCTTCGAGGCACAACTTATTCTCAAATAGACCTTACTTTCGATGCACAAAAGAGTGTCAACGAAACAAAGAAGAAGCTCATCTACAAAGTAAGTACTTTCCAAAGATAAGAACAAGTAGAACTCAGAACTAGCAAAGCACGCTAACGACAAGTGACATGATATCGATCTTGACAACATCGAAACTTTGGATCATGAAAATGATTGACACGGATGCATAATCAAGGAGAATTTTCTCACTTAGCATAACCTTGGAAAAGCCGTCAGCGAGGTCAAGCACTGTTTTCGTGTCTTTGTATGCTGTTTACAACTCTTCTCTACTTTCTATTGTCGTTCATCACAAGAGGGCGATAAAATCCATGTTCAGAAAAGGTGATAGGTTTTCATTTCTTTCGATCTGCTTGTTCACTTGATGTTCTGTATGACATATGATGGATCTGAGAAAGATTCTGTATGAGATATCATTTGTTGTTTCAATCTTCGGTTGAAAGAACCTAATAAAGGTTAAGGACAAACTTTTTCAAATGTCTTTTTTTTTATCTATTTTGGTTGTTTTTCGTATGAGTTTTCTTTTAACGTCATTTATATTTACAGTAGATAAGTGTAAGTTTGTTGTATTGCTACTGACGTGTTTCTTTATCTATTCGCTGATGTTTATCGACAGTATGAGTGTTTATGAGTTTTATAAGCACTGGTTCTTCTCATGTAACACAATAATATATTAATTACATGGCACTCTCTACCGTCATTGTTGCGATATTTCTGGGCATTTCGTTTGGTCGTATTGATGCATCACCTGAATTTGCCTGTGATTTTGAGGATGGCACGATGTGTAGTATGAATCTTGTCAGTGCTCCGATCAATTTTACTGTAGCTACCGGACAAACGGTGGTTGATAAAACACTTGGTCCATCATATGATCATACATTCAATACACCATCAGGTCATTTTCTCTACTGGTATCGATCTGCTCAGATTACTCGCGTTCGAGTCGATGGCTTGATCGATGTACCAGCTTTTCTTCTTCAGCCGAATATGTGTCTGCGCTTTGCATATTACATCAATTCAATTAGTACACCCGAGAAACTGACAGCTCTCGGTGTGACACTTATTGGCTGTACCAAAAGTCTTATTTGGTCAACGAAGATAATTGATAGCAATGGTTGGCAAATTGTTGATACAAGACTGCCCGATACTTATTGTTCCGCGCTACTCAGTTTCTTTGTCTCTTCAAACGCCACAGCAGGTGTAAGTATAAGTTTAGATGATATTGTGATCGATTTTTGTTCGACAACAACAACGGGACCCATAGGAACAACAACCGGTTGTGGTGCAGTTTTACATTATTCTCATTTTCTCTTAGTCTTGGCTACTGGTATTTTCTTCCTAATCAATACATTCTTATAATTAACCCAATAAATTATTGAATCCTTGCGTCTGAGAAAATAAAATTGAATTCTATCATTGATTTATGATAAAGGAGATCGGATTAGTCAATCAGAAAGCTAGTTACTTCATTTATCTCATTTTTTTTGTAAAAATTCGCCTGAAAATCATAGCTTTTCAGATGCTGTATATATCGCTTTCAATTGTTTTTCTTTTCATTCGACAGTGGCAATAGAATGGGTTTTATTTCACTGACGCTACCATTCATTCTTATGAAGAAATTGAAAGCGATTATGATTTTAAAAAAATAATCATCAGTTTCTATTAAGAATAAATGTGTTTGTAATTTAATAAGCAACAGGATGAAATATTCGAGTTTGCACTATTTAATAGTCTGGCGTGATTGAAGATAGAGACGTAGTTGATGTTGTCTATGATATAACTTAATGTATGCACAATTGTAAAAATGAAATCACGACAATGATCAATGAAAAAAACATCATTAATGAATCCGGCTGTAACAATTGTTTAAGATTATTAAATTTGAAGTTATTTCTCCTATTTTTTTATATTTGCGGATAAAAGACTGACGACTCATACAGGATCCTATCAGTATCCAATCCAGTTGTAATAAAATAAATATAAAAGAAAGAAATGTGTTTTGAGCACCAAAAAAAGGTGAAATGAGCACAAAATTGACTATATGTGAAAAGAGCACCAAAAAAAGGGTGAAATGAGCACCACATTGATTATATGTGAAAAGAGCACCAAAAAAGGGTGAAATGAGCACCAAATGAACAGAACAGTACAAAAGGTATCAATTAAGATTTAAACGAATTACGATTGCAGGTCATAGGTACTTAGCTATTAAATTGTGATAAGCTCTACTCATATTCATTAATCCAATGACAGTTCATAAATAATCTAATTAATTGGAGCAATGATTTGTATATAAAAGAAGTGTAGAAAAAAGTAAAAATTACAATAGCAAAAACATGTCAAGCAAACAATATCAAATTTGAAATATCGTCAAAACATTCGACGAAGCTGATATTATTCTAAANGATGGGAGTACAGTGGGAGTACGATGGGAGTACGGTGGAAACACGGTAGGAGTACAATGGAAGTACGATGGGAGTACAATGGGAGTACGGTGGGAGTACAATGGGAGTACGGTGGGAGTACAATGGGAGTACGGTGGGAGTACAATGGGAGTACGATGGGAGTACAATGGGAGTATGGTGGGAGTAAGCACTCTGAAAATTTCGCTTTTTCCCCCTTGAGTGTATAACATTTGTATAAAGTATGAAATTTAACTCTAAGTACAAGTTTTATCTACATTGTGTGAAGTTTTCTAAATGAAAGACTTTTAAATAAAACTATTATTTTTTTCTAATGTTTCTTCATCTAGAATTCATTCGACAATTGTATTCTAATTCTAAGAGCTTTCCAGTTCAATCATCGTCTTTATCTCTGTAGTTTTACTTCCAGAAATATATTTCACCTCATAAACTTTGATGCTTACTTGTTAGCTAATTGATACGATATATTCGATTGCATTACTATGAGATAATGGTTTTAAGATGCATATTCTAGTGAATATATTCACGAGGGAAACATCCGAAGTGAATCACCGCTTTTGAGCTCATATTTTTGGCATATAGAGGGGATCTCTAGACTAGAAAAACCCTAAAAGTATTTGGGCCCATAGACCTCCTCTACAGAGTTATAGTCATTTTACTCTTTTTTTGACATATGGCACGGGATGCACCAACAAAGAGACTGACAGTATTTTGGCCTGAAATCTTGTCGACAGATACGTCTACTTGAAATTAGAATGTCCTGAAAATTTCAGCTCAAAAGAATGCTTCATTCGCAAGATATTGAACGTCGAAAAAACATGAGGCTGTCGCATCTTTTATGGGATCTGTGTGTTTTTTGAAAATTCAACATCTCGCGAAGGAAACATTCTTTTGACCTGAAATTATCAGGACATTCTAATTACAAGTAGACTCATCTGTGGACAAAATTTCAGATTCCAATACTGTCAGTCTCCTTTGTTGGTGCATACCGTGCCATATGCTAAAACTAAAGTAAAATGACTATAACTCTGTAGAGGAGATCTATGGGCCCAAATACTTTTAGGATTATTCTAGTCTAGAGATCCTCTCTATATGCCAAAAATATGAGCTCAAAAGCAGTGAATCACTCGGGTGGTTTCCTCGTAAGCTTAAATCTCTACGACGAAAGCTGATCGAAATATTAATAAAGTACTGATGGTATCATTCTTTATGCTGCATCCAATATTTCAATATTTGCAATCAGTTCAACAAAAAGAAATAAAATCAATATACCATTGCGAGGACATGTCTTCTCAACTTGATCAAGCCGAGCTTTGATCAATGACATTTGATATATGGCTTTGCTCCACTCATTTCAAAAGATGATCGAATTCAAGTTTACTTTCGTTGTCTTTTTCGACACTGCATTTAATTTCTGATTCATTCGGTGAATTTAAAGTTTGAAAAATACTTTTCATTCGTTTATTTTTGCACAAAGAAAACTGGCGCACAATAGAAATAAGACTGAATTGAAAATTTGGTCAAAAAACTCGTTATCATCCTTCACTTCAATTTCTAAATTATCTGCAAAGAATATTTTACTTTTCTTTTCATCAATTCCGTCTTCATTCAGTCGATCAACGAATATTCGAGAGTAATTTTGATTTGATCGATATTGGATTACTTTTATCATCAATGTTTAGCCTCAAATAAACATATATTAAACACAGCCACTTGGATCATTTTTGATGTCTACAGTTTTTGTTCAGTTTTCTGAAGGAAATAATTTAGGAGTTCGTTTCAAAGATATAAAATGGTTTTTCCACGAATGCCTCGGCAGGTTTCTTTGCCTGCACACAAAACATTTTCGTTTGCATGTAGATCTAAAGATTTCATACGGAGCACATATTTCCAGTGTAGATGATACCTCAGAGAGTGTATTATTCATGAACGTGTCATTCTACTGCAAACGAGACTTCCACGGATATTCCCGTATTCAACTAATTACTTTTCAATAAATTCCATCGGAGCGTTATCTACTTTTCGGTTTCTTCTTAATTCTTGATTCTAATTTACTAAAAAACATTCTCTTCTGGTCGGAACCGTTTGGTCCCAGTGAGTTCCTTGGAATCCAATTCCGGCTCGACAAAACTGTGCCGCAACCTGGTGGCAAAGAAATCATCACCACTCGATGAAATCTATCGAAATTCAACAAAACTTACAGGGACGTAGCAGGAAAATAAATAGAACTACCGATTTCGACAATCGAACAGTAGACTTGGCAGTTGATGGGGAATTTATGTATGATAACTCTAATCCTAAGATTTCGAGAAATCAAGTAATGATTACAGCACTTTTTCTCCTGGTTAGAGGTGTCATCCAGTGGCTTGTTACACTCCCAGGTCGATTATTTTGGGCTTCGAAAACAGTCGAATTTCTCTGGAATCGATCGGAAAAAACAGAAAGTTGATCGAAAGTCATCGGAAAAATTCGGAGACTTTCCGACTCGGAATACTACTTCCATGATTCATCGATTTTCGATGTTTTTCCGCCGGAATCGATCCGTACTTATTAACTTGGGTTATACTAGAAGTTCAATCGGAGAGAGCCAAAGAAATAATGCTTCAATATTTTCTCTTGAACATCCACTTTAACATATTGTACTTATTTTCAAATTCAATAGTTTCCATTATTCTCATTGTTATGGAAACAGAAACAAGATTTTAGCATTTTTTTCTCTTTATGCTAGGACAACTTCATAATCAATAAACACACCATAGTAGGTAAACTCGGATGGACTTTGAAACTTGAGGATGACTTGATAGTTGGAATCCGAGTATTGAATAAGTGTGCTGTTCGTCGTTGTTACCTCGATTTCTTCGTTATCGATCAGCCTATAAACATGTGAGACGGGACCCATCATACCTTCGTTGTCAAAATAGATCATGTAGGCTTGTTGTTTTTCTGTGAATGGTGTTTCGATAGTCATTGTTAAATTTTCGACAGGGTTGGACCAGGAGAGATGAATCGCAGTACATTGTGAAATAGTAGTGTGAGCCAAATTGAGCGTCGATGAATTACATGCACCCATAATGCTGACTGTACGCGAGCACGAGTATGAATCATAGGACCAAAGTTCAGCAACACACGAATCATTGATATTATAGTCTGTAACAGGCATATCTGGAACAATTGGCCCCGCTACCACTGTCACTAACAATACGACGAACAAGAGAATATATGACATGATATCTCGATGAATAATAAGAAAAATACTGATCTATTTATATAGGAGGGTCAATACGCATATACTCAGAATAATAGCAGAGAATGAAAATGTAAAAAAAGAGAACAGGTGCTAAGGATTTCTCGTGCACAAGAAACGCAATGATCAAATTACGAAAACTAATCGATTATTTGTCTTGTCATCATTACCATTATTTAAAAACTGATGTCGACTCCCATATTTCTTTTTTGTATTGAGGGTGTGTGTGTGTGTGTGTGAGTCCAACTTTTCTTTCTATTGAACACTCATACCCATATCTTATTGCCGACTCACTAACGAAGATTTTGTTTCGAACTCAATATTTTTTATTGAAGAAAATAATTTACGAAAAACAATCTGAATTAATATAAAAGATTGAAGAAAAGTTACATTTTTTTACAAGAATGATATATTAAACAAGTCGATTGATTGTTCGGTCCTCTTGCGTCTCCGGACTCAAGAGATTCTCAAATGGTTACCCTACATAAGCGAATTGCTTCGAATCGAATTTTATTTATGAACGTCATTGGCTTCTTTTATTCGAGATCAGGCGCATTGCACTATGGTTTTATTTCCACTCTTATATGGGAATGATAGAAAACTTGGTACTTTCATATTGGTGCTGAATATAGACTTTTTTCGTAAATTTATCGTTGTATGAGAAGAAGTTTTGATTAAATATCTCACCTTAGTCT